GGCTTTGGCTGACAAAGACGAGCCATACACAGTAAGTTGATAAACGCATTGTCATATTTGGTGTTGTCCCTCTTGGGTGTTTTACAGTAGGAGCGCCTACTACACGTAATATGGTAGTATGCCTATGGCATTAGAGGGAGTGCAGTTTGCCGTCTTGCTGCTATAGCTCTGAAAGTCTCATTAAAGGAAGTAAAATGCCTGGCTCATTATTCTCCACACATACATTTCATTGTAGTATTGATTTGTGGGTAATTGAAAAAGCAGCTTGAGATAGTTTCGAGCCGACTATTTGCTTCAAATTCACCATTAGCATTGTTAGCTCAACGTTAGCCTCTAGTCTGCTACGCCTGATATTAGAGTAAAACAAATGATGCCGTGGCTTCTCAGGGTTACAAGAAATAATTAATGGGTTTCTCCTGTTTTATACAACTTTAGAGCTTTTTACCTGCTGGTGTTGAATTACAAATGCCGGAGTCTCAGCTCTACGCAAACTCACATATTTTACAGTAAAAATCAATTACACTGATTTCACATTCTGTGGATCACAAAGTTAAATGGGGTTGAAGTTCAAATTTAAAGGGTTTTAAATAAAACATGTACTCCCATATGTATTTCCCCAGTTCTGTTTTGTAAACCTTGTGGTTTTGACGAAAGACATTTCATCCATTTTCTTTCTCTCAACTGTAATGTTGAAGCTGTTTTTAACATGCTGTTCGAAGCTTGATTCTTTTCCAGGATGCACTCTGGGAAATGAGCATCCTAGATGTAGGATGTTGTATTGATTTGGAAATGTTCATGTGTGTGTGTGCTTCATCTGAGAGTTATTCCAGTGAGGATTGGCCTTAGTCGATACTGATGTTCCACTGTGTTTTGAAGGGCATGTGACATGTCAAAATACTCTGCAACATGGCTAATTTCTGAGTAAATGAGAGCTTGAATCAATACGGTACGAAGAGTAGAAGCTGATATTTAACATATGGTGCAGAGAAAAGTTTATCAACTGCTGGGTTTTATTTAAAAAGTTAACATTTTCATGGAATTTTGCTTAAAAGTAGACAAAGAACTACATAGCAGATGTATATGTCAGCATACATATGTAGAGTATGTTTACATAAAAATGTAAATGTAATATTTAACACATTGACGGTTTTACAAGTCATTAATTGGAACATTTTAGAAGGGATTTGTTTTCTTTTTCTGGTCTTGTATTGATGCAAATCTGGTTTATTGCCAAAAGTACCAATAATACTCCATACATTCATTGTATTTCACTTATCCAAGGTCAAGTCACCAAGGTTACAGGTCCTGGAGGGGCAACACTCCAAATCTTTCTTTGTAGGTGCACCACATGCACATAGGCCACAAAGAATATCTGTATCTTGTTCTTTCGGTCATGATCTACAACTCAGGGCTGTAGGTGAAGGTTAGACAATAGACAGATTAGTAAACTGAGAGCTTTCCAGTTTGTCTCTACTCCCTTATCACCACTACACCCTCATTACTGAAGTAGAAGCCCTGATCCATCGGACCTTCTCCCGCTCCATTCCACCCTCTCCCAGGAACCAGACTCTATGATACTTGACCTCCTTTACTTACTCATTGATTATATTGTTGGTGTAAAGCCCCAAATGTGTGAAACGGTTTGACTCTTTAGCACCATGCAGTTCAGAGAAGGTATTGCATCCACAGTAGCCCACACTCATCAAAACACATTAAGTCATCAATCCAGCAATCAGGTGTATTCTTTTAAGTTGTATTCTTTTCTAAATAGTATCTAAATATATGTTGAGTCATAAAAACTGAGAGGTGGAGGTGTGCCACACATGGTTGGATCAGGGCAAACAACCTAAGAGGAAAGCAAGGCGTCCACAGAGACAACTTGCACCATACCTGTACCGTGTATGTCCTAAAGAGCCACCGAATTTCAAGATGGCGCATGACTATGAAGGGTTGACCACAGTTTCTGTAATTTAAACTGTAAAATTGAAAGCTAATAGGAATACTTAAAGGAATATTAATGAAAAAAGACACACTTTCAATGGGACACACAAAATAGATAGTAAGCAAGTGAAATATTGCACACTGGGGCTTTAAAACCAAGCACTTCCAAAGTAGTGACGATATATTGTTTCTAGAAATTCATAAACATGCCTACACAGATATAATTCACCTAACTTTGGTTGTTTGGGTTATGGATTGTGGCCAATTAGATGTGTTTGACTTATTTCCCCAACCCTAATGCCTGACCCATCTTTTAAACATAGGACTTGTCCAAAAACAAGCTCATATCTTTCCATCCTAATTGGTAATTTCTAATTGGCCAGAGGCCGTTTACAGACTGGCTCGTCTTTGCAGCCATATTGTAGGACTGTTTTATGAAAGAGAACTGTTTTATGAAAGAGGCTAAGTGTGTCGGCACCTAGGTCTCTGTCTGTTTCAACTTCTGCCTTTAACTTTCTTCCTCCTGGCTTTATCATGATCAGGATGATCATTCAGTGTATCTTGTCTTGGACAATCCTCTACCGTGCACCATCTTGACACAGGAGCCCCCCAGGGCTCTGTACTAGGACCTCTTCTCTTTGCCATATACACCACTTCACTGGGTGAGATTATTCAATCACATGGCTTCTCCTACCACTGCTATGCAGATGACACCAAGCTCTATCTGTCATTTCCACCGGACGACCACACTGTCTCTGCACGAATATCAAACTGTCTCTCTGACATATCAAAATGGATGAAATCCCACCATCTCCAACTCAACCTCTCTAAAACTGAACTACTTGTCATCCCAGCAAAACCATCCATACAGCACAACATCTCAATCCAAAAAGACTTCCTATCTCTGGTTCCTTCGAAGGCGGTTCGAAATCTGGGCGTTGTGATTGATGAACACCTGACCTTTAAAGATCATGTTGCCTCTGTTGCTCGTTCATGCCGCTTTGTGCTGTATAACATACGAAAGATCAGACCATACCTAACACAACATGCCACCCAGCTCCTGGTGCAATCTACTGTCATCTCCCGCCTACACACACACACACACACGCACGCACGCACGCACGCACGCACGCACGCACACACACACACACACACACACACACACACACACGAAGAGACTTAACCTTCAGTGCAAAACACCTTCTATTCTATCGTTTTCAATTTCTATAAAATAATTTAGGTGTCACCTCATAAATATGAAAACACATAAATCCAGGAATAAATGGCATCTCAATGAATAGAGTTGAGTGTTTGTTTGCGTTTGGGCTCGATGTTTGTTCCTCCTGGAGTGTGGCACCGCGGATTAGATACTGGTGAGAAAAGATGTGGTTTCAGGTTATTTTTATAACATGAGCCTCACCGAAATAGGAAAAACTACCCAATTAGGACAACTAAAATGTAGAAATTTACATTTCAGATATAATGCATATATATGTGTAGAATAAATGAATTTATTTGGCTTCATTTAGAACAAGAACTGTCATATGTACATTTTTGCCAACTTTAAAAGAATATAAGGCTGAAGAAAAAGTGGAAAAAGGAAAAGGAGATTAAACAGAAGGTTAAAGAGTGAAGTAAACGTGTTTAAGACAATATGTTATTCTAGGGACTAGTTCTTTTCTCAATGCAATCTTTTAATACATAAAACATGGAGTCAGAGAAAATTTTGATTACAAAGAGCAATAAATGCAAGCGTGAAGGAAGCGGAATGCACAAGTCATTATATCGTGTCAATGTTTGAAACGGAGTCGCTTAATCATACTGAAAATGCATTTGTTATGCCTGCCTTACCACTCAATAAATGTGAACATGGGTCTAATTAAGATACTTTTCATTGAGGAGGAGAAAAAAAAACACACAACGGTAATTTCCTTATCACTCAGAACCAACGGCCAGCATTTACTTATCAATAGAATGAACTGAAAAACAAATTTTAATCAATGAGAATCAACCTAAACAAGTCTCAAAAGAATGTACTTCAGGTGGGATTTGCTTTTATCCCTTCCTGCTCAGTGAGAGTGGCCGGGTTGTTAGAGATGGCTCGTGAACATCAAGCAGATGGATGCTTCAGTGATTTAGTAGAAGGAACAAATGAAATGGAACAAATTCTGTAGGTAAAAGAAGAGGAGAACCATTAGTAGCAGGGGGAATGTTGCAGTAGCAACAACACAGTCTGGCATTTTTCCAGACCTAAAACAGATCTGGCCTTCAAATCCTCTCTTTATACTTCCCAGTTTAATTCAAGAAATCCCGTCGCTGAAGGCCGGCCTTCGGTTGTATTTTTCTAGGACAAACTCGAACATGTTGATTGATTAGAGGCAGCCTTGCCTTTCCTTACCCCAGTTTTGCTGCTTTCTGATCTGTACACAAGTTTATTTTTGTAGAGCTAATCGGTTTAACACATTTTTCTTTTGTTTCTGTGCCCTTTGATCTCATGTTTTTATTACTTTGTCTTAAGCTTAGCTGAGAGGCAGAGCACGCTTACATTTATGGATAGAGGAGGATGTTGTGCTCATAGTATGAAGACTTTGGAAGTTTGAGCACAGGGAGAAATATGCGCCAGTTGTACCAGATAAACTAAAATGTCTCAAACTTGACCTCTAATCTGTCTCATTTTCATATTTTGAGAAAGAGGAGAAGTAGATGAAGAGTCTGATGTATAATATGTGTATACTGTGTTATGTAAATGTCATTAAAAGAGGAAAAACCGATGTTTTCTGATATTAAATTTTAATGTTGACGTCAGCGAATATCAATGGTAGACGATATCGAACATTGTTGTTTTTTTCACAAACAAAATAAATATCCGTTGCTTCTCTCTTATCTGTTTTGTAACTTGCCTCTAATGTGAAATAAATATTTTCTTTGGCAGAAAATCGATCCTAATTTCTCTTTTATGAAAATGTCAGGAAATTATGACATTAACACAGAATTAAATGCATTTTTCAAAATAAGTGTGTACAGTCTAGTTAATAAATGTTTGTTCTGTGTTTTTACAGGTTAACAGGCTTCCAGGCTCCTCCCCCTGTCACCAGTACGGGAAACGTTTTCTCTTTGAGGCTGACCAGTGACTTTGCCGTCTCGGCTCATGGTTTCAAGCTAAACTATGAAGGTCAGATAATTTTTTTACACTGTCAGTAAATCTGCATCTCTCTCAGTACAGCTGAGCCAATCATTAGAACATTAGAAAGTCCAGTGGTGAGTTGGAGGTTTAAAACAGGAAAAGTCAAACCTCACCTTGAATACATTCTTTAATAAATAATTAATATGATTCACATTACGTTGTCTACTTTCTCAGATTTTCGTTTACGCTGAAGCAAAATACAGAAGATGCAGAACCTTTAAAACATAAGGTGACATTTTCTGATTTGATTCTGTTGTCACTGCCGACGTGGTTTCCTTTAAATTCAATTCATTTGACGGAGATGAGAAAGAGAATGAGGGATTATTCGTATTTGGTTTTTTACCCCTTTTTTCTCAAGGAGAGTGCTGGGTCATGAACCCAATCTTCTTTTTTTAAAACTAGTGTCCACTCGGCACCGGATGTGACTTAGTAATGGATCAAGAGTGCATCCCTCTTCAACATGAGAGGCTGGTCAGACTTTGAATATCAAGACAGAGGAGAATTATAAATAGATATGACTAAAACAAAAGTACTAAAAGGGTTGAGACACTGAAGGACAGAAATGCATCTATTCACTAGTGACTAAATCAGTATTAAAACATATTTGTTAACTTTTTTAGTGGTTAAAGGTGCAGTATGTAAAAATGAAGAATGACATCCTGTGGTCAGATTTGGGTACTGCAGCCCACTTTCCAAACACACTAGTCATTTTTTCACTGATCTCAAAACCAACCAGTTACTGGTCTCATCTATTGACAACATGTTTGTGTTGTCCCGAAAAAATGAATGATAGTCAATGGGGCTAAAAACGCTATTTTCTTATTCTGCTTGTTATGTGCCATGGGTTTCACATTTGATGTCCGTGAATTTTAAACATTTTGATACCAAGAACTTGCTTATTTTCGAACAGGGGGGAAACGTTTTTTTAGGTTTTGTGTGGAAATAACTCCAGGGCTACAAATGCGCTTCACGAAAGTGACGTCATCGAACCAGAAATGGAGAAAAACTGAGGGAAAAGGTCTGTTAAGTTCGGTAAACTTCTCACAGGACGAAAGAACCACCATGAATCTGGTCTTTGGTGTGTTCTTGCTGCGTTTAGTTTCAAATTCCATCTTTCAGTTCTTTTTAAAACACAGAAAAGGTTTAATTACCTGCAAAGTTTCATTTGCGGCTGCAAACATCATCAGGCTGACGCCGATGAGTTTACTCGTTGGATCGCACATGGGATTGCATCATCGGAGAGGGGAAAGCAGGCAGCAGAGGGCAACAAACTGATGATGTTTGGCACCGAGTTGGCAACCCCATGGGCTCTTAGTTTGTAAACAAAGATTCTACCTCTCTTTGGTCTCATTTTGAAATTAGTAAAACACACACACACACACACACACACACACACACACACACACCAGCTCGGTGAGAAGGAAATCTGTTTCAATGTAACCTTCCTTCCAAAGTGATTGAGACATGACTTATTTTGTAAAACTATTACATGTAATTGAAAATCGCAACATTAACTTCCCTACTTTCCCGTTAAAAGCTTCTTCTTGGCTTGAGTAAGCGCTCCAGCGCTCCAGTCACAGGTTGAACAAAACACACAAATAGTCAAAGTTGTAGTTAAAATCAGAACAGATTTGTCTCCATCACATCCTTTCTGCTTTGAAGATTTCAGGTTAGATTTATAACTTTGATGTCCTCAGCAGGGTAATTAGTGCTGAGGAGTGAAACAAACACGCCATAAAATGTGTGACCAGAGGCAACGACACGACACTGGAAATCACCTAAACTGACATGACTGAAATGTCTGTTAATGAAGCAACTGACATGATTCAATTGCATGTAAACCTCTTACAGCAGGGTTTGTAAATGTCGATTTTAGAGATAAAACCAAACACATTGCTAAAATTGCTCACAAACTTTATTCTAGTCTAAGTACAACCGACAAAAAAGTAACTGGAGTTGTTTATTTTTAAGGCAGTTTGTTTTTCTGAGAAACTTTAGCAAATCCCACAGAAAAATGCCGGGGTCCAAGGTTTTAAATTGTATAAAATAATTGTTAATGCGAACTAGTTTGCCAAACAATCCCTCAATCTTCCGGCCTTAGCCTTCTAATTTCAACCTTTTCTGGCATTTTAGGAAGATTGAAAATTTGGGTCTGAGATACCCCCTGCTGCATAGTTAATTGAATCAAGGCAGGTTCCATCCATCCATTTTATGAACCCGCTTTGTCCACGCAGGGTTGCGGGGGTGGGAGGTGGGGGGGTGGGGGGTGGGCTGGTGCCTATCTCCAGCGGTCAACGGGCAATCAGGCGGGGTACACCCTGGACAGAGAGCCAGTCCATCGCAGAATTAAGGCAAGTTCAATTAGACAATTTTTTTTACATGTTATACTTGACATATGATTGATCAGGCTGAACGTTAAAATAGTCTTTAATCCGTTACTTGCATTAGATCTGCGTTACACTGTAAATTAGTATTCAAGTACTCAGCCATCTTGGCTCGCGATTGGGATGGTTGTTGTTGAGTTAGCGTCCAGTAGACAGCGGAGTACTTTTTGACTAGAAGAAGCTAACTGTTAGCATTAGCAACTCCACAATATGGCAGAACTCCCCCAGGCTTGTTATTTTTGGAGATAAAACATTTGCTTGGTTTTCTTCAAAGAAAACTTGAACTCAATAGGAATGTTTTTTTTTTTTTTTTTGGGAAGTGCCTTGAGACGGCTTCTGTTGGGATTTGGCGCTAAAAATTAAAGTGAATTTAATTTATTCAACCAATAAACCTATGAAAACCTTTCCCTTATGATGCCAGAGTGGCATTTTTGTTCATTAGACATTCAATTCAATTCAAAACTAATTTATTAATCCCAGAGGGTAATTAGAGTTTCAGTACACACAATTCTGAGATCAGACATACATACATAGACACATGACAAGAATTGGTGACTGTGGTCATTCGCAACCCGAGTCGCTCTACCGTTATAGATCAAGAGGGTTTATATGGGGGATAGAGTCAGGGGGAGGGGAAAAAGGCACTTCAGAGTTACCCTCCACAGAGAGGATAGCTTTGCTATGCAAAAAAACACCTCAGGCAGATATGCACACAGACTTCAGACATTACACAACATAAGTTTCCACTAGGTGGGCAGGTAGGGTTGGGACTCTCTTTTCAGTAAACATTCAATACAATCTTCCAGCAGTGAGTTTCCCTTCAATTTTTCCTTCGAGTATCCTTAAGGCCAGGCCTAAACCCTCAGAGAAATTGCAAAAAGTTCAAGAGCTGCATTCAGACTCTACAGCCCTCTGCAAGTTAAATGTTTCTGACAGGACAATTAGAAAAGATTGAACAGGTATGGCTTGTTTGCAAGGGTTGCCAATAAAAAGCCTCTTCTCTCTAAAAAGAACATGGCAGCACATCTTAGCATTTCCCAGGTTTGCATCCGAACCAACGACAAGTTACAGTTTCCTTTGAGGAAGCAGGAGTAAAGATGTTTGACAGGAATGGAGGAAACCCAAAACAGCATGTCAGCACAAAGCTTGGTGGAATTGGGTCAGGCGATGGGGCAGTAGTCCCGAACGTACCAGCATAAAATAGCTGAAAACAAAAAGAGACTAAGGTGTTCCAGTTGCCCAGTCTAGGTACACAGTTGGACACTGTTGCAATTCTGCAATAGGATGTTAGTGGAACTATGTATGGAGGGATGCCTGAGAAACATTTATGCAATGAAATCATATTGGGTAGAGAAGTAGGTCAAATCGTCGCACAATAAAAAAACAGGATTATTGTGGAACATAACTTCTTTTTCGCCCATTGATTTTACGTTTTGGCTTAGTTCTAATCAAATGCAACTGTACTTTTAATATTATTTATGTACTATAAAAAGGTTAAAATATCTGAATTGTGGATAAGTCTTTGCCTCAAGCATTTTGGTGTCTTGTTCGTCAATGATGTGGGATTAAGTCACAGGACCGATGGGTCTAGAAACGATAAATGGACTGTATTTGATACAGCGCCTTCTAGAGTCCTGGAACCCCCCAAGGTACTTTGCAACACAGTCATTCACCCATTAACACGCTGGTGGTCATGAGCTACATTGTATTCGTTCATTTTCATTCATTGCACAATGCTTTCATACATTATAGCTACAGCTGCCCTGGGGCACACCGACAGAGGTGAGTCTGCCATACACTGGCACCACCGCTCCCTCCGACCACCACCAGCAGGCAAGCTGGGTTAAGTGTCTTGCCCAAGGACACAACGACAACAACAGACTGAGTGGGGCTTGAACCTGCAACCTTACGATTATGGGGTGAGCACCTAAGTCCCTGTGCCACCGGCGCCCCATAGAACATTGCTCTGGTCCGTTGTGGTAAAGAAGGAACGGAATGAAAGACCAAAGCTCTTGGTTTACTGATCCTTCTGTATTCAAGCCATTATTCATGGTTATGACAGTTTGATTGTGGTCAAGAGAAGTAAAATTTGGATCCAAAGGGCAGAAGTGGACTTCCTTCATTGAATGACTGCTTTGAGCCTTAAAGTTTCTCCATCATTCAGATGCAGCTTGCATTAGAACCACTGTTCCTTCTCATTAAAAAAGGTGGTTTATTCATACAATTTGTCTTGGTTGTGTCCCTCTGGAGAGGGATATCTGACTGGGAAGCAACCCTGGGGCAAACCCAGAAGGATTTAGTTTTCCTCTCTGTCCTGACCTTGGGTTCTTTAAGGTGGGACTGGAGAGCGTCACTGGAGAAGAGGTCTTGACACCTTTAGAAATGTGTTTACTCCACACTTCAACGTTGGATAAATGGTGATGGAAAAGGCTTTATTTACCACAACTCAGGACTTTGTAAGCACCAGGCAGCTATGCCAAACAAGAAGTACATAATATACCTAAAACGGATATTCATCAACTTAATGAACGCTATTTTAAAGGGATATTCCACCGAAAAGTGACATTTTGGTCTGACGTATTTCCCAGAGTTAGAAAAGTGGGAGAAAGCAATTTCCAACTAGCATTTTGTCACGTTCATGTTACATGCAGGATTAGCATCACTCCTGAGTAGGGTTGTCACGGTAACCAGTATAGCGGTAAACCCCGGTAAAAAAGTTGACAATAAAAGTAACCGTCCAGTTTTTAAAAAACTAAATTATCTCGGTGGGTTTACCGTGGCCGCGGTTTCGGCGCGGTGACCCTTACCAGCCACCGTCGCTTCAGCTGAAGTTCCCGCGGCGCGCACACGCACTTTTTAGTTTGCAACGGCACCAAAACTTTGAAGCTGAAATAATGGCCGAAGGAGGAGACGGCAGCGCCCAGGACATCCATCAGCCCTCAAAGAAGACTAAATCGGAAGTATGGGCATATTTTGGATTTCTGAAAAATGCTGAGGGACAGTTAATAGAAGACTGCTATCCCGTTTGCAGAACGTGCAGGAAACAAGTGTCTGCAGAAGGCAGCAACACTTCGAATCTCATGGCACATCTGCGTGACCATCACCCACGTCTCTACAGCCAGTGCAAGGTAAGTTAACATTAGCATTTTAGCTTAAACGTGAGGACGTGAGGACTTTTGGTTGAGGGAGAATGCAACGAGTCACTATATACTGCAGCCGCAGCGTCCTCTGCCAGCATTTAAACCGTGTCACGGACACCCTGTTGCTGGATGAAGCATCTTATTTGTTGATGATGAAGAGAAATATACAATTAGTTCCTTGTCATTGATTTGTTCACTTATTCAATGTCATTTATACTTGAACATTTGGATTTGATTACATAGTGTAGTAGTTATTTTAGTAATTTGTTTAAAGTGGCTATTTATTTTAAATACATATTTTTTAAGGTTGACTTGTACAGTGCTCAAGTCAAGTGTGGACTGGAGTTTTATATTTTCATTTTGATAAAGAAGAAAACAAGTATATGAGAAAACAAGTGGTGTTTCTTTGATTTGTTTACATATTGTTTATGTTTCAAATGTTTGGATTTGTATCATTTAAACCTGCACTGACTACTGTAACATGTTCCAGAAAAATAAGCTATTTGTTCCTTTACTTGTGAAAAGTTGCACTTTTGCTAAGGCTTTGTGTTATTTTAGGTTTAATAAATACTGTTAAACCTTTTCAAAACTATTTCAGTTTGTGTAGAACAGGACTTTCAATGCTTTCTGAACATATGCAACACCGTTTAAAAAATACCGCGATAATACCGAAAACCGTGATAATTTTGGTCACAATAACCGTGAGGTTAAATTTTCATATTGTGACAACCTTAGGACTGAGTGATTTTAAGGACTTTGTTTCTCACAACTCTCTCGCCTCTGTCAGTGCGCCCCAGGGCAGCTGTGGCTAAATCGTAGCTCATCACCATCAGTGTGTGAATGTGTGTGT